TTGGTTAGCTGGGCCAGTGTGTGTTGTGATTGGCAGCACTCGGCGCCTGGTCGGGAAATGTCATGCCCCTTACCATAGCCGCCTGCGAGCTTCAGTGTAAATATTGCGTCAATATCAAATCAATTTGAGCGCGATTTAAACCCGGATGATTGTAAACACTCTAAGTTCGTCTGTCTTGAGAAAGCTAGCGTGTCTCCGACATAGTGATAACACTCATTGCCTTCTCTAGTGCAGCTCAACTAGGTCTCGTCCCATTCGTCGATATTTGTGATATCTCAAATCTCGGAAAATATGCGTTGTAGTCCCAACGAGTCGTTCGTTGTAGTTTTTGAAAAGTGATTTCTGTTAAATAAAATATCTCCTTTTGAAGTGGACTTTGAACTTTGTAACTTTGCATATCTTTTTTATGCTCAAACAGTAACATTACAGACTAACTAAAGTTGAAAAAGTGAAAAAGCATAATAGGACCCCTTTAAAATTCCTAATGTAAGAGAACTGCGAATCGCCTGCGATTTTGAACATGATTTTGTGTAGCTTGCCAGTGAACTACAGCTCTGTGTAGTAAATGCCACTCCATCTGAACGCACGCGCTGGAGATTTACTACTAATCACAGGAGCGCCTTTACTGACGAGATGTGCATGAAAATCGCATTTGATTTTTTGCACAGCCCTAGATAGTGGTATGAAGAACATGTGCAGAACAACTGATTTTGTTGTGCAAAATATACCTTTAAACAGATATTTTATATGTCTCACCTTTGGACTCCACCAAGGCCAGGGTTTTAAGCTGGCCTGTTATGAGAGCTTCCTGCAGATCCCGGTAAGAGGAGGAGAGAGTGATATACCGCACGTCTCTCACCATTATGTCCTCCACACGGATATTATATTTCCTACAGGTAAAAAAGAGAGAGAGAGATGGGAGTAAGCATTCAAAAAGCCAGGGGAATGATATGAGAGTGATAATTTGGGGAAGTTACGTAACAGCCCTCACTCCTGTCCCCAGCCCAGCTCTGGCAGGTAGGGAAGTTTCTGGATCCGGATGATGGAATCATAGAGGGAAGGCTGCAGACTCTGAGCCACGGCATTGGCCAAAATCACAGCGATCATCACGGGCAGGATGTGCGAGATTTGACCGGTCAGCTCGAACACAATGACGGCGGTGGACACGGTGTGAGTGACTGCGCCAGAAAGAGCCGCCGCCCCTGTGGGAATCACCATTTCATCCCGCATCAAATTACAGTAGCAGTCACCCCGCCACAAGCCATCTGATTTCCTATTGTGCTCCTGACAAGCTTTCTGCTCCGCTGCACAATGCAGCGCTACCGCTGAAGCCATTTCCACAGGCAAGATCTAATTTGGCTGTTGGTCTGTGTGGGTTAATGAAAAATGTATGACTCTTGCATACAACACCCTGCAGGTTCAATTACGTGTGTGAGTAAGATATAGCCACGACGGGCTGAAACTGATGGCTTTTGAAAGAAAACAAATGGACATACGCGAGAAGGCATGCACAATCGACGCTCTCACCTACAACTGCGTATCCGCCGGGAACTATGGGATATACAGTGTTGTCGGCGTGTATCCCTTCGGGGAAGACAGCGGCCATGCTCTCACCGACCAGTCGACCGAACGCAGCTCCTGTACAACACACAGAATTCACAACGTAGATTCGATGACATTCTGGAGGTGGCAAAAACACCAATTTTGAAAAAAAAAAAACCCACCAACACCTGCTTGACGAATACTTACGTGAAGTCACAAACATTGACTCCAGTGATTTTGACACGTTTACACACAGGCTTTAGTGAGTCAGACAGTGATGAGGGATGGAAATGGAGAACATGATTGCGGGAAAAGGAAAACAACCATTAAGAACAAACTAAAGTATAATGGCTGGTATGAACACAAGAACAAAATAATGTTCAAAAGTGCTCGCTCGGTAGCACTTTATTTTACAGTCCCGTTCCTCATGTACATACTGTGTACTTATTAAAGTAATTACTATAACTAGGTAATAACTAGATACTAACCCTAAACCTAACCCTACCCCATGTAGTTACCTTATATTACCAGTACTTTCTTAGGTAAGTACACTGCAAGTACACCGTAAATACATGCAAGTACACGTACTGTAAAATAAAGTGCAACTGCTCGCTCATTCAATAGTGAATTGAAATGGAAACCAAAAAAGCATATCCCACAGTGTTGACTTTCAAAAACGACACACGCACACTATAATCACATACCAATGAGGAAAACCGGCATGAAGGCCCCGCAAGGCACAGGCATTGTTGTGGCCACAGCTGACATCCAGAACTGAGGAAAACATTAGTGGCATAGAAGCCACAAGGTCACACACTTGGACAAAGATATTTTTAATAATTAAGCAATATCACAGTCGCAATCGCGATGCTGCACTGAAAATCCGGACGGCTGTGATTAAGCAAAACTGCTGGTTTTTAATATATCAACACAATTCAACATACACAATGGACCCTTTTCACAAGACTGTGATGATGCGTTTAACAGTCATCAGCATCATAAATCCTCGAAAGTTTTTTATATTTTGATTTTTTTGTTTTAAATGTATGGACCCTTTTCACAAGACTGTGATGACGCGTTTAACAGTCATCAGCATCATAAATCCTCGAAAGTTTTTTATATTTTGATTTTTTTGGGGTCAAAGACGAAAAAGGGTTTAAGCATAAAAACAATACTGTTTTAAACGTTCTCTCTTCTGACTGCCGTTATCAGTCTCTCAATTTTTTTCCTTTTTTTGAAAGTCATGAAAACACTATCGTGTAGTTTTTCTTTTGCTATTTGAGCAAATGGGAATGCAAAAAATATATTTGTGGTACTCTCCCATTCACTGATCTTCAAGTTAACCCAACTATGACGACTTCCGCTGCTGACTTTCCATCAATGGAAAGCTTATTTATTAAAAATAATTATATAATAATATACAAAAATAATATTTTTGCTTACTTCAAAAAATGTACCCTTTTATGACTGGCTTTGTGGTCCAGGGTCACATATTGTCACATATTGCCCAGTGTTTAAAAGTGCTATTAAAGAAATCACCCAAAAATAAAAATTTACTGAAAATGTACTTTCCCTCAGGTTATCCAAGATGTAGATAAGTTTGTTTCTTCATCAGAACAGATTTAGAGAAATTTACATCACTTGCTCACCAGTGGATCCTGAATGGGTGCCGTCAGTATAAGAGTCCAAACAGTTGCCACAAGTAATCCACACCACTCCAGTCCATCAATTGCCATCTTGTGAAGTCAAAATCCTGTGCGTTTATAATAAACAAATCTATCATTAACATGTTTTTAACTTCAAACCATTGCTTCTGGCTAAAATACAAGTATTCTATCCATAACATTATACAATTAGGGATACATAATATTTCTCCAGTGAAAAGGTATAAAGCATAAATATGCACAGATCAAGCACCGTTTACAAGTAAAAACAGTTCTGAAGAAATATGTTGGTGGATTTTTATTTGAGAGAACAACAGGGGATGGACTTGTTCGCCGGAGGAAGCAATATATTGACTTATAGACCTTTATTTTGGCCAGAAGCAACAGTTTAAAGTTAAAACATCTCAATGATGGATTTATGTATTACAAACCAGCAGCTTTTGACTTTACAAAATGTTAATTGATGGACTGCAGTCATGTGGATTACTTTAGGATTATTGTGCTGTTTTTATCAGCTGTTTAGACTCTTATTCTGATGGCACCCATTCACTCCAGAAGATCCATTGGTCAGCAAGTGCAGGAATGCTAAATTTCTCCAAATCTGTTCTGATGAAGAAACAAACTAATCTACATCTTGAATGGCCTGCAGGTGAGTATATTTTCAGCAAATTTAAATTTTTGGTTGAATTATTCCTTTTTATTTTCCTTTATATTTTACATAATATGGTGAGACACACCTTCATGACAATGAAGAGGAGGAGTGTGACGAACACACTGACTTGTGGGTGCTTCCAGGCCTGAGGTACGTGACTTGAGTACACAAACTCCTCAGAAACACCTTGCTTGTACCAGGTTTGGTTGTCAAACAGTGCCACTAGTGACTCATGTTGAGTCAGCTAAATGAGGAGGCAGCGCAGTTTGTTATTTAATGCATAATTACTGATCTGGAACAAAATGAAGCACACTTGAAAGACTGTAAAATTCTGGTTGTGTTGAAAGAAAAAAGATATAGAGAGGAAATCTGAACATTTCAATGAGACACACAGTAAATCTCAATCATCAGACCTGGCCTGCCATAAACTGTCCAAACCCTGGAGGAAAGGTGAGTGTAGAGACAAGAAGAGTGACCACTGCTGGATACACTAGTCTTCTATGGGAAGCCAAACATGAGAAAGAATAATTGCTTTTTATATATTAAAAAATACATTTGTTACTATAATATAATATAATATAATATAATATAATAATCATTTTATTTATTTATTTATTTATTTAAAAAATACAAATAAAAGTTGAATTATTATTTAGTGATAATGTTTTGTAACATTCTTAACAATGAAATGAAATTTTATGCTGTGCTAGTACCTAAACAAAATACATTGTACAACAAGATTATTGAATTATAAGAATTGATAAGAATTATTGTTAATGTAAGAGAAGCTGTAAAAAACTCACTTTTTTAGCAAAAACTTGTTGATGGTTTTCTGTTTTCTCATAGACTCCACTATGATCCTGTTCAGGTAGACATACAATGCCCCTCCAAAACCACTGGCAATCCTAAAAAAACATTAACAACAGAAGAACTGAAACGTCAATCTCATAAAACATGACAAGAGGTACTGTATAACTATGATCACTGCACATTTCTATTTTACTGCTAAGAACTAAAAATAACTAACTAGTTGGATTTACAGACTAGACATGTGAACCTGGCCTGTCAACCAGAACACAAGAACAAGAAGTTTAAGCTTTGCAAATAAACAGTTCTAAAGAGCTTAGACATTTTTAAAGGGGTCATATGATGTTGCTAAAAAGAACATTATTTTGTGTATTTGGTGTAATGAAATGTGTTTATGCGGTTTAAGGTTCAAAAAACATTATTTTCCACATACTGTACATTATTGTTTCTCCTCTATGCCCCGCCTTTCTGAAACGTGTCGATTTTTACAAAGCTCATCGTTCTGAAAAGCGAGGTGTGCTGTGATTGGCCAGCTATCCAGTGCGTTGTGATTGGCCGAATACCTCAAGCGTGTGACGGAAATGTTACGCCCCTCACCATATTGTGATGATGCCCTGTCAGGCCGGAGCGATGATTCAAAAACATGAAAACCCATTATAAACGAGGCATTCGTTGCATCCAGTGGGAACATAATTATGGATTATAATGACTTATACTGTCTTTTTACGCATTGCGTTGCATCGCGCCGCGTAAACATAAAACCATGTCTGCATTTGTGATCAGAGAAATGACAAACAACAAGCCCTACTCTACACTGCCCAAAATTTGCGTTTGAATCATCGGTGGCAAATTCTTTAAATATAAAAAACGTACTTGGTTTATGCACCAAGAGCTTGTAACACTCCAAAGAGAAAGGAAAAATTGAAATCGCATCATCTGACCCCTTTAACACAAATGTTCTTAGACAAGGATATCAGTTTGCAGGAAATCTGTCTTTTGACTACCATCATTTAAATGATGTAAATCAAATTTGTGTTTAGGAGAAAGATGGCAAAGGTGAAACACAAACCCGAGCACAGCAAAAGCTGGAAGCTCTTGTAGGTCAAAGGGAAAGTCCAGACGAAAGCGCGTTTTAAAGAGAGCCGTGATTGTCTCTGCAATATGGCGAAGAGAGAATGACAGAAATTTATGAAGAATGAATCATCTGACTGTGCTAGCTATCATGACGGATTTCTCTCTCACCCTCATCCTTATTCCACACCGCCAGCACCCTGAAGATAAAAGCACTGAAGGTTGCAGCGAAGAATCCTCTCCAGTAGTTCCTCACAGCAAAGAATGTAGATGTGACCTCAATACTAAACAGCACTCCTGCCACAACACAGCAGATCATATGACAAACGACTCTGCTCAAAGCTGGAAGTATACAGGGAAACGTTACTGTCGTAAATGTGATATGGCGTTATCTCCAGTGGCCAGCTATGATCACAATGTCTGGACTTACCTCCAATAGGGGCTGCAAAGCAACAGCCCACCCCCACTGCACAGGCGGCTGACAGCATCTCTGTGTTTCTCAGCTCGTTCTGTCAGATTAACAAGAAAACCCAATACATGCAAATCCTGTTTCAAACGACTGTCGTCGTGGCATTTTACAGGCAGCTAAGAGTGGAACAGGGTAATTACACTGACAGATACATGGCAACGACATGCGGAACAAGGTATTGCTATGAACACAATTAAAAAATGGACAAACACTACTCTTTCATTCACTATGTGCTATCTTTGTGAACGGTTTGCTACGGCCAGGGAGGATGAAGTCCAGTAAGACTCTAAATTACAATGGAAAAATGGCAAACTTGAGAAAAAAATAATTTATTAGTAACAGAACAGAATAGCAAAGACAACTTAATTTCATAGAAATAACAGCTGTAACATACTTTGCATGTGTGCATAAGAATATATGCTTCTAGGTGTTATATCTAAGCCAATGAGACATTATTTGGAACCTCAATGAAGATTTAAAAATATGTGAGCGGAAACGCAGAAAGAACTGCTTTGAAAGAACTAGAAGAAACAACTGCAAGCATACTTTACAAGTGAGAGGAAACATGCAATATGGATGCAGACCAACACATGAAGACAATCATTCAAAAATTATGTGCTACCATACTTTATAACTAAGAGTAACAAAGACAAAATCATTTAATAGAAAAAAAATGTTGTACGTTAAATGTTAAGTTTATAATATGCATAGTTGATCGCTAAATTTAAGTCAAGTCAAGTCAAGTCACCTTTATTTATATAGCGCTTTTAACAATACAGATTGTGTCAAAGCAACTGAACAGCATTAATTAGGAAAAGAGTGTGTCAATAATGCAAAATGACAATAGTAAACACAAATTTTTCAGTTAAAGACAGTTCATCATTGAATTCAGTGATGTCAACATCCAGCTCAGTTTAAATAGTATCTTTGCAATCAAGTCAACGGTATCGCTGGAAATGAAGTGTCCCCAACTAAGCAAGCCAGAGGCGACAGAATCACAAATGGAGATTTAAAAAAAATTAAATTAGCTTTTTTTCGTTCATTATAACACTTTCAATCAATCTGATCACATGGACACACCCAAACATAATAATACCTGCATCTTACCTTGTTTCCCTCAAAGGGCTCTTCCTTCAGCAGTAAATCAAAATAACACACATACATGTGAGTATCTGCACTCTGTTCTTTCAAAACCTATCAATACTTTAAGTACTTACACTGCTGTGGTTTCAAGTCTGTATCTACAAAAAATAAATAATTTAATTAAAAATTATCGTTCTAATCATTCAGTCGTGTATTAAATCTTATTGATAAACCGCAATCACCCCTATAAATTATTCTGATGTCATAGGGAATTTTCCCTCTATATGGCAACATTATTCCCTATGGAAGCCCATTTCTGCCACTGAATAAAAAATAAAAAAGGTAATAGTGAGTTTTTATCTCACAATTCTGACTGCTTTTCTCGTAATTGTGAGTTTACATCTAGCAGTTCTGACTTTTTTACCTCGGAATTACGTGATACAAACTCACAATTACGAGTTATAAAGTCAGAATAGCAGGATATATTCACAATTCTGCCTTTTTTCTCGCAATTGTGAGTTTATATCTAGCTATTCTGACTTTTTTTTCAGAATTGTGAGATATAAACTTGTAATTGTGATTAATAATGTCCAGTTCTGAGAGGGTTAGGGTAATGGTTAAAAAAATAATTCTGACTTTATTTCAGAATTACGACTTTATATCCCGCAATTCTGACTTTATATCGCAATTGTTAGTTTACATCACACAATTGTGAGAAAAAAAGTCAGAATTGTGTGATGTAAGCTCACAATTGTGAGAAAAAAATCTCACTATTACCTTTTTTATTTTTTATTCAGTGGCAGAAACAGGCTTCCATAATCCCCTCCATTTTGCTACTAGAGTATTTTTCTTTTACCCTGGCACTAATTGGTGCTCATTCATATCCCAATATCAAAGTAACACCCACAGGTATGAGGTGTCTGTCAGACAAATAATTATCAGCACGGCCCGTTTTCCCCCGGACCCCACTGCCTGACTGACTGTGTAAACATGCCATTGACATTTGCCTAATTAAAGTGCATTCAATTACAGTGAAACAGTTAAAATGTGCCATAATGTTTATGGTCTCCGATTTTCTGTCAGATTCACTCTGCTCTAACAACATGTTATTGATCCATTCCCCAGCGTGCTGTGATTTCTTAGGTTACTTTGTGGGCAAGTCCAGAGGGTTGATATGGTATCACACGAAGGCCGTTTGACTCATTTTAGCATGATTTACAAACGGCTCCATTCACTGCGCTTGCAATTCCCTTGAGAACTGATACCTTATGTACTCCGACTAATCACAGACTAACCAAAAGCCCTAGAGATCCCTCAGCTGCTTGTTTGTATGATACACGCAGATGAGACTGGAAGAACAAGGCCATGACATTCCAAGTGCAGTGACATGTAAAGTGATGATACAAACACAAGTCATTGGTAACGCTTTGTAATATCTCTCATTAATAGGTCATTATTTATAGGCCATTTCATTAAGATGCATTTAACAAATGTTATATGATGTTTAATTGATCAATAGTTAACGTACAGTCAAATATTATTAGTAGATGGTTCCCCAACGATTGTTGTTTTAATTAATTTTTTCTTTTCAAGAAGAGTCTGAACATATCAGATAGATTCAAACTTGTGCCGTGTGTACAAAAGAGCAAAATGTTAGAGCATGTTCACATTTGTTATCTAATGCAATGAGATTCATACAATTTTAAGTGCCCAAAAGGGTGCAAATTCTTAATGTAGCCACTGTATAAGCCATTTCTGATTATTTGATTGTAAAGAATGTTCTGTAGCGCATATTATAATAATGTTTGTTAGTGGAAGGTATTATAAAGTGTTACCAAAGTATGAAATGTCAGAAAGTTACTGACAAAAGACAGCATTAGTAGAAAGCATCTCACCATGTAGATTCCTCCAAACAAGGCCATGAATTTGCTCAACAGAGCAGCACACAGACTGGCAACATGAACAAATGGTCCCTAGAGGACGCAAGAGGAGATAGAAATAACAGATGTGATCACAGGGCGAAGGCTTGAAGTACTTTAGCATTAGAATGCTTATCTAGGATCAGATATCCCCTCTCATGCACCTCTTTGCCTAGAGGCATGCCACTTCCAAGGGCACAAGTTAAGCCAATCACTTTGGCGACGAAGGTTTTGAAAGTGAGGTACTCTTTCAGCACCACACCTCGGAGAATGGTCTTCATCTCTGGGATCCCAGAGCCTAGAGGAAGAAAAGACGAAGGGGGTTACAAAGAGATCTGAGAACACGTAAAGGCCATTTGGCTTAAATTGATTACGTGAGCATGGGTGAGTGTGTGTGCATATCTCACCCACTGCCTGTGGCGCCAGTATCTGTGTGAAGCCGGCGGAGAAGGTGATGAGAACCACTGGGTAAGTGACCCAGGCCAGGTACTGCAGCAACATGTTACTGTGCAGACCACCATACATCCACTTCTGTGCTGCAGACACGACACACACACCATATAATTACATCTCTATAGAGGAATAAGATGTGTTCCAATCTGTGTACTTATGCGCTATTCTATGCCATTTGTAGTATAAATGGTGTGAGTAGTGTGTTCATATTGAAAATTGCAAAAGGAAAAAGCACACTTCATATACCCAGATGGTGCACTTAATGAACCAAAAAAAATGTACTTAATGTACTCAACATGCACTCAACTGTCTAAAATTCATACACTAGATGGTATGAATATAGTACATAGTAAAATTGGATAATGTATGGTCATTTGGTACACAGCTATAGACTATTCATGTACATTCCACGCGACATTGCAAGACCATGGTGTGGACTCAGGCCCTGTGTAAAATAAAATACCATTTTTTGGGCCATTGATATGACTGGAGTCTTCATTTCATGTGACTGTACATCATTTAACATATCTGTCTTAACATATCTAAAAGTACTATTTGTCATTTTTGTACATTTCTGAGGTGTTTTTATATGTGGAAAGCACTTGATGTCGCTTAATGCTGCAACGCTAAAAAAACTGCCCTTGATATGTACTAAGACAATTCTGTGCCTTTTTGTTAATTGACTGAACTGCCACACCCCAGTCCTTGTAAATAAACTGATTCTTTTGTAAAAAGAGGTCAGTGAGTTGGCACCAATTCGTTCAGGCATTAATGTACCTCCCATCCCAGAATACACATGATGACGATATCCCACTGAAAAAAAAAAACAATACTTGACTGATTAAATGACACCATCTGTACTTTCATGGAACCCTGTCAAGCAGAACATTGTACTTTTCTTTCTTTTCATTCTTTTCATTCTTTTCTCTCTCTCACCTTGCTGGCAGAAGGCAATAGTGTAGTCCATGGCCCAGCTGACCAATGCCATGAGAAGCCCCAGGAGGATGAGAAAGATCCAGTCTTCACCCACACGGGAAATCAAGAACTTCTTACACCGTGACGTACAGACTGCAGACAGACATTGTAGAAATAATTCACCAAAAACATGACAATTCTGTCATCATTTACTCACCCTAATGTCATTGCAAACCTGTATTACTTTCTTTTTTTTTTTTGATGAACGCAAACTGAATTATAATAATATGCTGTTTGCTCCTGCCCAAACAGTTCTGAGTAATAAGCACCAATGCTCTGAAGCTTAAAAATATGCAAAAGCAGCATGAAAATCTATTTATTTACAATTTAAAATAACTGTTTTCTATTTGAATATATTTTAAAATTTAACTTATTCCTGTGATGGCAAAGCTGAATTTTCAGTGTTACATGATTTTCCTTCAGAAATCATTCTAACATGTTGATTTGGTGCTCTAAAAACATTTCTTATTATTATCAATGTTCTGTATTATTTACATGTATTTACATGTCTATATTTATATTCATATAATTTATTTATAAATAAATATATTTAATATATAAACATACATTTTTTTTTAAATATACATGCATGTGTATTTATATATACATAATAAATATACACAGCACACATACATATATTATGTAAACAAAAACTTATTTTGGATGTGATTAATCGCGATTGCATGCCAAGAGCAACCAGCAAAATTCTTCAAATTTCTACATTCATGATCCATTTCTTTGGTTTCATTGGTTTTTAATGACCTGGGGGTGAGTGAATGTAGTCATCATTTTCATTTTTGAGTGATCTAATCCATTAAGCACCTAAAACATCCACCATTTCCCTCTTCTTTGTAGGTCAGTCTGTGTTCATAGATACAGGCTATATGAATAGGAAATGAACAACACAGAGCAATTACCCGAACCCAGCAGTAGGTGCACAGTATGCTTTAATGAAGTGAACAATTGCTCATAAAAGAGCTCGTTTTCCCCTGGAATCCCATGTTTCCAGACTCATGAGAAAACAGAGTGTGAACAATTGCGCTGTTGCATAGGTGGACAGGGTTGCGGAGACCCAGACAGGAAATGGCTTGTGTGTGTGAAGATAAGACGCATCTGAAGACAGCGGAAAGGGAAGGGTCACGGCAGGTGAAGGGACACCTCTGAGTATGTGACAGAGACGCTGCCCCGCCAGCTTCAGCACCCGCTCAGCGGCCCTTTGCCTGGCTCCTCTGTGCGGGAGTTGGCACATGGGCAGATTTGCCCACTGAAGTGGCACAACAGATGTCTTTGCTCTCAAAATAAACCCTGTAACAATCCACAACCAAGAAAGCAATAAGCCGAACCAAATTTACTGCAACTCAGGATGCATTTTGGACGCGCAAACCTGCAGTGCTTATCTCCAAACCGCGCCAGAGAGAAGTGCTGAGATGCGGCATATTTTGACACTTAATTGGAGTTTGAGGAATAACCGTAAAAAATATGCAGAGCCCATGCTTCCCCACACAGAATTTAGTGTCTTTGACAAGTGAGTCACAGGCCAGCACTGGAAGTGACATCCTTATGTGGCATGCATGCATAATATAGCAATGTATTATATATCCAAGATCTATTTATATCCCCAGAGCGAGTAGAAAGGTGTAGGAGGTTCGGTGAGAGGCAATAGTATCGGCCCCCTTTCTGCCTGATATGACAACTTATGCGGCATTTTCTACATTGAGCCTCACAGTTTCCCATGAGGGCGAGCTGGTGGACCGCTGCCAGTTCTCTGTTTTTATCCACAGATCCAAAACAATTAGTACTGAAATAGACAGATTAAGTCGGCTATAGTGGTAGGACTTCGCTCTAAAGTTGCATAGAGAACAAACAGCAGGATGCTGACAGCTTGTCGCAAATCTACCCCCCTCTGTCATCTTAAAATTCACAAATAAAGTCTAATTATACAAGGGAGAGAGGGAGATATGTGCTTATATGCTCTGTTTGCTTATGGGCATATATGATGCCAGATCTCATACGAAAAAGCATGCAACTTGTTTTGACAAATGCACAAAATATGCTTAATCAAAATAAGTTGATCAAGGCACACTGTTTGATTTCAATAATCTGGTTTATTACAGAGCAAAATTAGAGATCCCTAATGTTTTGGATAACTTTTTATTTTGATACTCCAATTTCTACTAACTATAAGTAACTTTGGAACTAGCCTACATGTCAACTACCAGTCATTTGAGCATTAGTCGTTAGTAGACTGTTAACTGTAGAATGTCTAAAGTGGACTATCCAAATAAAATATAGCTAACCATGCAACTTGTTTTGACAAATGCACAAAATATGCTTAATCAAAATAAGTTGATCAAGGCACACTGTTTGATTTCAATAATCTGGTTTATTACAGAGCAAAATTAGAGATCCCTAATGTTTTGGATAACTTTTTATTTTGATACTCCAATTTCTACTAACTATAAGTAACTTTGGAACTAGCCTACATGTCAACTACCAGTCATTTGAGCATTAGTCGTTAGTAGACTGTTAACTGTAGAATGTCTAAAGTGGACTATCCAAATAAAATATAGCTAACCATGTTTTGTACTGCATGCCATTATTGTTAAGCAAAAGTGTGTTTATAAATGTGTCACTTTGCCATGAAGTTGTCATAAAAATGCAGATCTATTTGTAAACAGAGCCTACATTCAATGACAAATATCTAGATTATTTCTAGAACATATAAAAATGTATCACTACATACATTTGTTTTTGTGCTGATGCCAGTGAAAATGTTGTCAGGGTAATTAAAAATCTAACCAGGCCATCTGATAAAAAAATCCTACCTGTTTTATTAAAAACTGACCATCTAAATCAATCAATACATTTCTCTTTTGCAATTACACATCACTGGGGTAAAGAAGAAACTGGAGCAGGCAGAAACACTGGAGGAAAATGGAAATTTTATATAGTGCAGCTCAGACTGTAGGTGGAGAAATCTGACAACTGCTATTAGTGGTCGGTTACACTCTATTGTACTGTGTAGGTCAAGCGCTAATAACCTCAAATATGTTGTTGTATTCTGGAAACAGGCCCAGAAAGCACAAACCGCGACTGCCTATATTTATACGTGAATTTATTAAATTATTTTATAAGAAGCTGACAAAACAACACTGACTTCATCTCAAAAGCTAATGAGCTGCCTACAAAGGCCACATTTAAAAAACATCATAAGCATGCTCTCGACCAAAAGGTAGACCTCTTAATTATGCTGCCTGCCAAGATACTCTCTTATGGCCAACACATCACACATATCCTTCACAGCAAAGGCAATCCCAAAGCACACTGTGAAAAAATCCTTTGCACAATACTTAAAAGTACTGAAAAAATTGTTTAGTGTGAATAAAATGTATTATCATACCCAATATTTCAGTGTGCTTCTATGAATTTTAAAAGGATAGTTCACCCTAAAATGAAAATTCTGTCATTAATTACTCACCCTCATGTCGTTCCAAACCTGCAAGACCTTCATCTTCGGAACACAAATTAAGATATTTGTGATGAAATCCGAGAGCTTTATGACCCTGCAACGCAACTGACACATTCAATAACATCGTTAAAATAGTCCATTTGACATCAGTTGTTCAACCGTAATTTTAGGAAGCTACAAAAATACTTTTTGTGTGCAAAGATGAATTTTTGTGCATTTGATGAATTCACTACACAAAATGTATCTTGCGAAGTGAAACGCACAGACTGCAAATACATTACCAACCGAGTAATACACAAATTCTTTCTATGAGGGTTGCGCTTCACTAAATAAAATTTTTATTAAATACATGTTTACAATAAGCACTTATTCGCGCGTACACAGGACAGAATTTGAGGGCGCACACGTAGCCTAATATCTGAGCGAGCACAGAGCCTTGATCACTATATATATGGGAGAGCAAGCCTTCTGCAAGCCGAGAGATTCGTGCTGGTTCCCTCTCGTATTACAATAATGCACTCTTGACATTTGCAATTAAAAGAACGCCAAAAACTGCCTCAGATTAACTATAAAAATAAGGATAAAGTCGTAAAGTCCATTTCTTATAGGTTAAAATGAACGGAGACATGTGTCACGGGATCAGTGGCTATGCATGGTACTGTCGTGAACGTGCATCGAAGACGGACTGGGAAGAGAAGAAATTGTTGAATAAAGTTGTTGCTTTTTTGCGCACAAAAAGTATTTTTGTATCCTGATAAAATTACGGTTGAACCACTGATGTCACATGGACGATTTTAACAATGTTCTTACTACCTTTCTGGGCCTTGAACATGTCGGTTGCATTGCTGTCTATGCAGGGCCAGAAAGCTCTCGGATTTCATCAAAAATATCTTAATTTGTGTTCTGAAGATGAACGAAGGTCTAATGGGTTTGGAACAAAATGAGGGTGAGTGATTAATGACAGAATTTAAATTTTTGGGTGAACTATACCTTTAATTAGTGCATAATTTGATCAATAGCAACAAGCCAACAGCAAACTCAAACAATGTAGGTTATATCTACTTTCCTCAGTACTTAAAGGTATTGATAATATAGTTATATATAGTTATTAGAGCACCACGCAGTTAGCTTAACAAGCTAACGGCAAGCTATTAGAGACGAAAATCCAGTGCAGAGCCCCTTGTATGTGTTGCTGCATATGCAGAGCGCTCCAAATCAGTCACTTATGAGGTTTCATGAAGGTTAGGATGCCTTAGTAGGTCGCCACCTATGTAGGCAGTGTGCAGCGTGGCAGCTCGCTTGGTTTTGGAACAGAATTACAGTTGGATGAAGGAATAAAATAGAAATGAGACAGAGACACAGAGAGAAAGAAACAGACATATGACGCCAGCTCTGTAGACCGGTGTGTAGGTAGTGAGCTGACAAGCCTCCAAACCCCTCAAACTCAGTCAAGGAGGATCAGAAGACCTGCGCTGCACACTGTGCTGATAGATTTCTCATGCTTTTCACACTCAACAGGGAGGCGGGAAGGATGATATTGAGACAGATGCTGTGTGTCTTTGGAGATTACACAAGGCCAAAAGAGCAGTCTATTTATATTACAAGAAACCAATGAGATACCTCATTAGCACTAAAAACATTGGACTGCGAGACACTGTTGCTTATTTAATGAGAACTCAACTTTGTTTTTTAATAGTTCAGGGAATTTATCACAGAGTTCCAATATGAATGGCCACTGCTTTTGTCCAAAGCTCTCTTTTTTCAGCCAATCATCTTAACGTACCATTAAATGAAAAAAATAAATCACTGCTTCGCGAATAGTTTTTATCTCTAAACTCAAATGTAACGGTCCATATAACACATCCTTTGGTGAACGGTGACGTACTTCTAGACACAGATGCACAGGCACACACAAAGACACAGTGGCTCATTACAGATACACTGCACGTCTATGTGTCTCATCTATCACCCCTAAACAGCGCAGACTGATTATGCTCCCTGCTGGTGAATGGCGAGCACTGCACAGAGGTGCGGAGGGAATTGAACAGGCTGATAAATGCTGCAAGTTGTTGTTTACAGGCTAGACAACAGCAAACGCTCAGCGTCAATGCTTGAAAAATGATTGGGGAAAATGTCTCCACCATAAATGTGAAGACCATGAAGATGCCTTTAAGATTCAGGTGATGACACACCTGTGGAATGTGCGTGACAGATTGATAAACAACGACTACACAGCTACACAAACCAGTGACAATTAATCACCAGTAGAGGGCAATCTAGAAACCAGGAGGTAAAACGCCACATCTGCAAGCGTCAGACATGACCATATCCTGTCTCACTGAACTGCCTCAAATACAGTATATGAGCAGACCCAGATGAACCTTGTTGAAAATACGTGAAATGGATTTAAATATGATAAAAGCTATGCTTTATGCTGGTTAAGTGCTAACAAAGCTGGTTGGCCAGCATGTTGTATTATGGTGATGCTGGTTGACCAAGAAAGTCTTGCTGGTTAAGTTAGTCAACAACCCTTGTCAGAACAGCAGTCAGTGTTTGAACTATGGCAGGGCTGTACAGTGCGACATATATGTCGCACGTGCTACAAAAACAACTGGTCTGTGCGATGAATAAATTTACCACGGTAGCACGGGTGCGATACAATTTTACATGTTCATAACACAGCCGCTTAATAGTGTGAAGTGATTTCGTTGTGCTTGTTTGTGTGTGTGAGATTGATTATACTTGGTAGTTAGGGGTGTGCGATATGACAATGTTTGAATGTCTCCACGATCTGCTTTTGAAGAAATAGCGTTGTATCTGCTACAGCGCACATTCTATCGGCGGCTGTTCTGGCGCCTCCCTCCGTCTCAATATAATGTACAACACCACATGCATTCACATCAGTGTTAGCTCAGCGGTAGTTACTCTCACGGGACACTGCACTTATGCGCAGTCACAAAACTACATTATTTCTATCTACTTTAAAGCAATACCGGTTAAACATTTAATTCACGTGCTGTTCTGCATGCACTATTTCTGAGCGCGTACTCAAGAAGCGCCACTGAGAGCCTGCCAAAAAGCGCCTGATTATTGGACTAAGTCGTCTAATACTGTCAAAAACACACAAGGTTTACATATAAACACAGTTGGTTATGTCTAAAATGAAAGTAAACAGTCGAGAGAGAAACGCGTGAAGCTCTTAAAGGGACCGTAGCTACTAAATATGCTGCCACCTGTCATTAAAGGGATAGTTCAGACGTTTTATACTTGTGCTACAACTTTTTGGCCTGTGCTACAAAACTTTCAACCTCTGTAGCACCAGTGCTATGTGAAAAAAAAGTTAACGTACAGCCCTGTATGGTGTTGGTGCCCTTTGTGGAGTCTGTCTCCCCTTATTCAAAATCCCCTAAGGACTCAAAACTATGTACAACTTTTACATACAGAGGAAAAAATTGTTTTCAGGTAGGGTTTCATCAACCACAAAAGTTAGATTAATCAGAGCACAAACAGAAGTCGTGCCATCTGAGGGGGGTTACCATAGCAACGGCTGCTTGATCGCTGTCTGGGTACATTGACAAAACATAAGTACTATCATTATTTTTGTCATTTATGTTTTCTTTAAAGTCACCAAAAAAAAATAAAAAAAAATAAATAAAATATTGCAAAATATTGGAATTTTGCAGTGTTTATTTTTTATAAATAATTTATTGGTACAGGTCATTATATTTTTATTCATGTATCCTTCTAATTTTGAATCAAAATAACTTCCCCGACCTCTGAGCAATGACATCTCTTCTCTGATGACGTGTGCGAGACAATAATCCTTCCTCTCCCTGGCTGTGACTCACATGAGAATGCATTCATTAACAACAACGATCCAATCAATTCCCAACTCTTTCTCATTTAAGAAGCTGTTTCACTCAGAAATACGAAATAACTTCCATTTCATGCTGATTTTAAAAAGTATTTAAGTTGACATTCAGAATTTAATTGAATAATTCTCGTACTAACATCAGCATCCAAAACACAAAATATACTGGTGACCAGTGATGCTGGGATGTGCTAGATCAGTGAGGTCCGGGGCCCACTAGGGGGCCTTTGCAAACTTCCAAGGGGTCCCCAATAGTGTTGGCCGGTATGCTCAACTGTCATATCGTCCTATCGTCAGCCTGTGAGATCGCCGATACACAATATTATCATGCTAATTTATTTATTTACTTAGTTTCATTGCCGGAGAGTGAACCAACTCTAGCAAAAGGCCAAAAGCAGCCTAATGTTTTTAATATGACTGAATTTGTATTTAACATGATAACAATTTAATAAAAACATTGTAAGTTACTAAATATAATGCTTACAGTTCCCTCAGTTATTCAAACAACAGCTACAGAAAACGAGCAAAGAACATTTACATTACCAAAAAACATCACTGACTTCATTCTAGCAAGAGTATTATGCACTTTAAAAAACACTCCCGTTATAATCAGTGAAGCTATCTACACTGTATGATGAATAAATCTCTTATACTTACATTGCATGTACATCTGCACTTTGTTGTTTATGATGAGAGAATTCGCGAGAGAGCAGAATTCAGTCAGCACGTGCATGCAATGAACAGCTAAACTCGTGTTTCAGCGATGACTCATCTGAATGCCTCTGATTGGCCATTGCATTCATAAAGTCAACAGAATCATGTGTGATTGGTTATAACGTGCAACACTGTAAAAACGTGGAAAAAGAAATATGATAGAACAAATAATATTAATTAGATAGTATTACTAGTCTGATGATGATAATAATAATAATAATAATAAGAAGAAGAATCATAATAATAATAATAATAATCATCATCATCATCTTGCTTTCGTCAAAGGCATCAGTCACAGGCGATATCTCTGACTATTGTCGATACACGATTCTATCGTCTATTAGCACAACCCTAATAAGTTTTAAAATTTCTTAAATTCTATTAACACAATCTTCATTGAAATGCTAAAAACCCCACTAATTATAAAGAATTATTATAAAGAATTATTAAAACTTTGTTTACAGAAGTACTAGAGGTATATATCAGCTTAGATTGGATGGCCTCTGAATATTGTCTTGGACAAAGGGGGGCTTTGAACTCCAAAAGCTTGAGAAGCACTGTGTTAGATAGAGATGAAAGTACAACTGTTCCAATCCTGCAGGAAAAGCTTGAATCTTTATGCGAAGTTCTACTGCAACTGATTCCTTGTGGGCCTGCACAAGACTGTTGATGCATCAGCCTTACTCAGCCCGAGTAAAGCTCAGATCTAGAGTCAAATCCCTCCCACTCATCTCCAGCATCAGTCTCACCTAATCCCCAATTCCAACATGTTCTCACTAACTCTTCTGCCTCCTGCCCTTTGCGACCCTTTTCCTCTTTCGATCCCTGCTGCCGTTCATCCTTGTGGATTTGCTCTGCTTTCCTAGCTTTGCTATGTAGCCACTGCTGTAAATAGCAAGCTATGACGCTAGCAGACCAGCCAGCAAACAGTTGGCGCACACGTATGTATGCAACACACCCACCTTGACACTTGGCACACGGGTCCTTCTCATACTCCAGCAGTTCTGGAGCCTGGCCGCGCACACTGGCGGTCCTCCGCAGCGCTCCATCCTCACGCAGACGAGCTGCCTCTTCTTTGGCATAGGCCCCCAACTCCTGTGTATAGCGTCCATACATCTGAAAGTGAGACAAGAGTGAATGAAGATTTTACCTGGGAAGGAAATGAAGGGAAACCAAGCCGAGAAGTGCTTCACTGAAATAATGTGCAACTTAACAGTCTGTTCAGAAGCCCATCAAATAAATGAAGGTAGTCTGTCAGAGGTTCCTGTCCCTGAGTACGATTCCTGCAACATTAAGCTACCATGCTTCACCGCAATGATGCTATTTGTGATATTTACATTTAAAGAAATAGTTTGCACAAAAACGAAAATTTACTAATCTACATCAAAGATATAGGTATATATAGAGAGAGTTTTTTTCTTCATCAGAACAGATTTGGAGAAATTTAGCATTACATCACTTGCTTGCCAATGGATCCTGTGCAGTGAATGGGTGCCGTCAGAAAGCCCAAACAGCTGATAAAAAACATCACAACAATCAACAAGTAATCTGCATGACTCCAGTCCATCAAGTAACGTGAAAAAGCTGCATGTTTGTAAGAAGCAAATCCGTCATTAAGGCATTTTAATTTTTAACTATTGCTTATGCCAAGAAACGAGTTTATTGTCTCAATGTCGTTCAACGTCTTAATGATCAATTTATTACTAACACAGTTCTTTACTTCACTGGAGTCATGTGGATTACTGTAATGGTTTTATCAGCTATTTGGACTCTCATTCTCAGCACCCATTCACTGCAGATGAGCTATTGCTGAAGTGATGTAATAGTAAATTTCTTAAAATCTGTTCCAATGAAGATGGCCAGAGGGTGCTTAATTCTCAGCAAATTTTCAGTTGTGGGTAAGCTATTCCTTTAAGCATCCACATTTGACCTAATTGGACCATGGAAATTATTTAGTCACTCTCATTCCTTTGGGAAAATTCCACCTGAGATGTGATTTGAGCTCTTATATACAAGACTTACAAGACTACAGAGTTATTAATTGTTTATGTTCTTGTTGTCTCAAGAACATGTTCTTCAATCTTTTATGGAGACCCTTACCAAAAAGTAGTATTACTTTCCTATTTTTAGTTTAAAAGAAGTATACTAATAGCACACTTGAATAAACTTCTTTTTCGTAAGGGGAGCTGTAACTTCTATAGTTCCTGTGAGCTTTTGCTGTGTTCCTTTTCATGACTCTTTTACTAAGGCTCTGTACACCTAGACCAGGGATGTCCAAACTCAGTCCTGCAGAGTTTAGCTCCAACCCTAATTAAACACCCCTGAACAAGCTAATCAAGGTCTTACTAGGCATACTAGAAATTTCCAGGCACCAGAAACTTGAACACCTTGACAAACAATTTGCTGAAAAAAGTTCTGAGCAGATTCACAGTTCTTATACATTTTTGCCACATAGTTTACTTTTCTTCAAGGTATGTTCAGTGCTTTGGAAATTTCCTACATACTTGCCCTGAGTGCAATTTTATATGTACCTTGACGCAGTTGGGCTTTGAATGTGCCTTTGTACGGTAGCCGAAAGAGCTCAATGCGCTGCAAATGAAAAAACACATGCAAATAGAAAAAACACTGGCAAATTAAGAAAACATCTTCATCAAATTGACAACACATGCACTGCAAATGCAAAAGTGCTCTGAAAGGTGAGATTTTTGTTTATTTTAACATCCTGATCATACGATTTCTTTGCTGCTTCTTCTTTTTTATTTTAATTAAATTTTTTTAAATTATTAGCCTAAATAAGATGACGAAATACACAATTACTGTAACTGTGAAAGCATGTAAGCTGGCTAACTTAAATTAATTAATTAATAAATACATTTATTATGTAAAACATAAATAAAACAAAAAATGGTTACTATAGTTAAACCATGGTAACCACAAATTAACCATGGATTTACTACACTAACCATAGTTTAACCATGGTATTTGTACAACTGTGGTTATACAAATGTTAATCAATATAAACAAAAAAAAAACATGGTTAATTTTAGTTTTTGTTGGGGTAATTTTGGCATTGTTGGGGTCCCTCCCGTTGTGGTCTGTACTTGCGTTTCTGTATTTAGTTGTGTTGTGAGTATTTGCAGCGCGTTTCTTTATTTGTTTGTGTTCTGAGCATTTGCAGCATGTTTCTTTATTTGGTTGTGTTGTGAGCATTTGCAGCGTGTTTTTGTATTTGATTGTGTTGCGAGTATTTGAAGCACATGTGCTGTCAAACTGATGAAGATGTTTTCTTAATTTGCTGGTGCTTTTTCTATTTGCATGTGTTTTCTGAAGTTGCAGCGCATTGAGCTCTCTTGGCCACCGTACCTTTGCCCTGTTGACGTAATGTTTCCTTAGAACTGCATAGAGATGCTCCCACACAGACCCATGTGTGTTTTATTTTGAATTCATGCACCTCATACCTCAGATGCAGATACACGGATTCCAGTTAGACCATTGTGCAATTTCTGTGTGGTCCCATTGGTTAGATCAGTAATAATTTAACTGTTAAAGCATTGGTCTCAAACTCAATTCCTGGAGGGCCACAGCTCTGCACAGTTTAGCTACAACTCTAATCAAACACATCTGATCGAGATAATCAAGGTCTTCGGGATTACTAGAAACTTCCAAGCAGGTGTGATTTGGAGCTAGTTGGAGCTAAACTCTGCAAAGTTGTGGCCCTCCAGGAATTGAGTTTGAGACCACTGTGTTAAAGCAAGTCACTAAATAATTGTTCATTCAATTATTATTATTATTATTATAAAAACATTTTTAATGTGTGTCTTCAACTATGGCCACTTGGGTACCAAGTTTTATTTATTTATTATTTTTTATTTTTTTTTTAAATTTGATTTTTTTTAATAAAAAGGTCAGATTAAACTGGAAACTCTACTGTACATGTTCAAGACAGACTATGCTGTAACTTATTCAGCATATTAGATTGTTATACCAGTAGGTGGCGACAAATGTCTTGTCTTGTCAGTGGCTACGCTTAAATGGACATCAGTAATCTAATTATTTACCTTATTCTGAATAAAACAATATTATGAAAAAGGTGTTTACAGTAGTTGCTTGTAGAATATATGCTTTCATTTTCCCGTTTTACATGTTATAGTACATAGATCGATTATTGGCACACGTCATTACGTCCCCAGGCGACGCCATCCGATGTCCCCTCCAGAATTTCATGTATCAACATACAATTCGTCTTCGTTATGGTGCCATATACAGTTTTGGGTGTTTCATGTTTAATTTTACAAAATATTCAAGTGCAATTAATTATTGTCATGCTATACGTGCAAACAGACAATGGCATTGTTGAAGCCATGCTCCTTTATTTGTCGTCAAACGGCTGACCACTGCCGTGTGTGTGTCCAGTCGCAAAATGTGGCGAAAAGTCCTACACAACAGTAATAATGTGATTAAGGTGTGTACATGTCTATACTGCACTTCGATAATGAGACTAAAATAGAAATACTCCATGTCTTAATTTGGTTTGTGTTTACTTCGAGTATGACTTTAGCCAGATTAAGGCATTCACTCTGTTTACATGGTAGATTCTTAATCAGAGTATTGTCTTAATTGTGTCTGAATATTGTTTTTTGCATCTTTGCCAGTCATTCTAGGATGGGCAAAACCTATAATGTGCCAACCAGCCAATACTGGTAGCCAGACAAGGCAAGGCAAGTTTATTTATATAGCACATTTCATACATAATGGTAATTCAAAGTGCTTTACATAAAAGGAAGTAAAATAATCATGAAAAAAATAATCACAACAATAAAACAAGGAATTTAAAAACTTAAAATGATTTAAAAAATCATTTAAAATGAATTTAAAACAGTTAAAGATATAAAATGATTATATATAAAATACAGTGCAATCAGTTCAGACGTAGCACAGTGCTCATTCAATAAATGCACAGCTAGACAGATGAGTTATGAATCTAGATTTAAATGTGGCTAATGTTTTAGCACATCTGATCTCTTCTGAAAGCTGGTTCCAACTGCGGGCGGCATAATAGACGCTCTTGAATCAATGATTTATTGGTTACACGCCAGTTTGTTATTGTAGAGACATCGACTTGACATGTTCACACCCCTAAACATGACGCTAAATAAACTGTGATTAGACGCTTTACATGTCGGTCAGACAGGTGGCCCCTGGCCAATGAAAGCTGCTGAGTCCAGACCTTCTGCTGTCAGTCTTTGCGAAATTGCAAGAATAAGGTGGTTGACCAAGATGATATTGCTTGGGTGAGTGTATGTAGGCCAGCGGTCATGCAGCAGTAAATGAGACCGCTACAACTCAGTTAAGATTGTGGACTAAGAACATATGCACATAGTTAACCCAATCAAAATGTATACTATTTTTCCTTATTAAAAGACTATTTTTTTAAATAAATATTTCCCTGGACTGTATGCTTTGGCTTCACTCCTTTCTCCTGTGTTCAAGTGTTCACACTCCAGGTCTGACACAAAGAATTAAATCAAATAAGCATCAGTAGAATGGAACTGTTTTGTCTTGTGTAGTTTTCTTAATGTTCACAAAACATAACTGACAACTGCCAAATACGTAAAGTGATCCACCTTACATGCAAAATGTTTTACAACCCCAATCCCAGAGAAGTTGGGACATTTTGTAAAATGCAATAAAATCAAGAATCTGTGATTTGTTCATCAGCTCAGACTGCTGAGCTTCTGAAGTCTTACTGGACAAACATTTTGCTTGTAAAACTTTAACAATTATAGTATCCTCAATTCCCATACAATGAAACATTGTAATTAAAAGGAAGGTTGATGTGACACAGTGTTAAACACGCCACTTTCCCAACTTTTTTGGAGTGTGTTGCAGCCATCAAAATCAAAATTTGGCAAGGCAAGTTATATAGCACATTTCATACACAATGGTAATTCAAAGTGCTTTACATAAAAGGAAGTAAAATAATCATGAAAAAAATAATCACAACAATAAAACAAGGAATTTAAAAACTTAAAATGATTTAAAAAATCATTTAAAATGAATTTAAAACAGTTAAAGATATAAAATGATTATATATAAAATACAGTGCAATCAGTTCA